TGATAATGACTGTTTGGGGGGATAATAATATCAAAGTCTGGTTACTTGCTTCATGTAAATAATATATTATTTTACTTTGTCTCTTCTGTCTCTTCAGCCAGCAGTCAACAGTGTGTGGCTGGTGAATCTGGCGATAGCAGATCTGATTTTCTGTTTCACACGAATCTTCTCCATCATCCAGATAAAGTTAGAACGGTGGCCTTTTGGTCTCTTTCTCTGCCAGTTTCATGGTTTGTTCAAACACACCAACATGTTCTGCTCTGTCTTCCTGCTGGCTGTGATCAGTCTGGATCGAGTGCTTTGCGTCCGTCAGCCCATCCTCACGAAGCGTCGACGCACCCTCTTCGCAGCGAGGGTGGTGGCAGTCTGTGTCTGGATTATAGCGCTCCTCTTCAGTATTCCTTTCTTCACCTTCCGCAAAATCTACATGGACAACAACAACCAAACTAAGTGTAAAATGGTGTGGGTGGAGAAGCCAAAGGAAAACAAAAACACCAAAGTTGCTCTCTACTCCATGCAATTCATATTCAGCTTCATATTTCCCTTTATGGTCATTCTCATCTGTTACATCCTGCTTGGCCTGGGCCTCCGACGCACTCGTCTGTCAGGGAAATCTCGGCCCCTTCGTATATTAGTATGTTTGGTCATTGCCTTCTTCCTGTGCTGGGCACCTTATCAGTGCCTTGTATTTGTAGACATGGTGTATAATGAAAACAAAGTGGTGAAAAAGTGGTACTCTATAACAAAGAGCATTGCTTACTTTAACAGCTGTGTGAACCCGGTGTTATATTTCTGTATGGGGCTAAAATTCAAGGAGGGGTTTAGACAGAAACTCATGAGAGTTTATAAAAGGGCTCTGAGAGATGATATGGATGGCCAGATGGCTCAGCCAACTGATCCCTCTTTGGATTAAAGCTCCGGGTTAAAACAGAGAGTTGGCGGAAAGGAGTGGATGTAAGTAAATTTTACCTTTCCCCAGAAAAATACATGTCCTTATACATAACCATTAATATAATATTGAAATGCCGAAAAAAAAATTTGCTTCCATTATATGATCAAAACCAGTATTTCAGAGTGAAACATAAAAGGTGGGAAGACTATAGTAATGATAATCGGTCAAATTAAAAGATTTATCAACAGGCTCAACAAAACAGGTGTGTGAACTCCTACCTTTCACTAAATCTGTTTCACCATCACTATATTTAAAGTCAAGTCTTAAGAACAGTGATAATTTGTTTGTTGTTTATTTATTTGTAATTCCTGGAAAATTCATATTGACACCAGAAAATTCACCCTCAATCATTGCGTCATATTTTACATATTATATATTATGTTTTTTTCTTTGGTTTATCTATAATTACCTAATTATAGATAAGCTGGAATAATTACGTTGTTAACCCTTGGTAAGTTGTTGCCAAAGCAGAAGTCAAATATCTTCAAAGATTTAGGTCTGAGGAATAAATCTCACCATAAACGCCACCTGGTACCATTTCTAGACTTTGCTGATGGTATTTGCCTAATGTCGCTGAATTGTGTGGGTTTTTTTTGTTGTTTTTTGGATAGTTATATTACATTGATTTTTGGCACTGTTTAAACTTAACTATTCCTCAGATGCCTTAAAATATAATTCAACCATGCACAAAAGTAGTTAAATGTAAAAATAAAAATAGATAAACATGTAAGTTCCAGGTGGAGGCTGGTGGAAGACTGAGTGA